TTGGATTCATATTCATGTGGATTTAAAGACATTTCAATTAGTGGAAAAAAGTGTAGGTGGGAATATAAAAAAAACAACTAATCAACCAAAGCTTTCGCGACCCCCATGCAGGACCTCTGTGGACCCCCTTTTTAAGACCTCTGCTTTAGACTGATCTGCTTTACATTTATATAAATTTATAGTTTTTAGTTAAAATGTAGACATTTTGACTAGATTGGGAGGAAGCGCAGCTATGACCGTTAATCCAATGAAGTTCTTAACATTGACTCATGCTTTTGCAAGTTTGGAGTTTGGCCCAATTAAAGGTGGCCAGATTTTCTTATAAATCCAATCTGGGGACATTTTCAGCTCGTCGATAAAAATAAATACATATTGTGAAAATTAAAATAGTAAACAGGGACAGTGATGCTTTCATTCATCTTTACATATTAATTCATATTTAAAGAACGTGTGTAAAATCCAGGATTATGACTCTCCTATTTCCTCAGATTAATGAAATGAATCAATCAATAGTGTTTATTAGTGCCACCTGGTCATTCAGTCTTCTGTCTTCTCTCTCCATCTTTTCTTTCTAGCGGACTTCTGCCTGTTTTACTCTAAGTAGATTTTTCTCCCTTCTCTTCAGTGTCTCTATTGTCCTCCGCTCTCATTCAATCTTCTATCAGTCTTTCTTATCTTCTTCCTCTCCTCCTTTATCAATCTTACGCTACTGTAAAACCGAAACAGCGGTTTCTGCATGCTCCTGCTCTCTTTCTACCATAATAACAGTCTACAGGTAACATTTCCCCCGTCATTTATACCAAGGGTAAAGTCGGGGACATTTCATGGGACAGCTTTAGCCGGGGACAGGTGGTCAAAAACAGAGACTGTCCCTAGAACTGGGGACAGGCTGGTCACCGTTACCTTGTTACAGTTTAATCTGATCAACACAAAGTAGGGCAAGATTATTTATACAAACACCAGTAAAATAGAAGAATAAAAACAAGTAAAGTTTTAAACATAGAGGTTTTAGATAATATTGAGGCAGAATACAAACGATGCTCAATTTTAAAATATTTGAAAAGTCAAATTCAGAATTTTTGACATGCTGTGCATTTTTAAGTCGTACTAAATTACTCCTTTTGGATGATTATTTTCTTAAGCTAAGACTCATTAAATTCATTTATTTATTCACAGTCTAAGTAAATATACATCGGAGAATGATGAAAACCTTTATATTGTAGATGTCCAAAAATGGTCAAAACAAAAAATCTGATGTAATTTTTTTTTTCTTTTTTTTTATGTGAGGCTTAAATGAAAAAAAAAATGGAAACATAAAGTCTGTAGTTCAGGTATAAGAAGATGTCAAAGTGGTAATTTAATCCACAAAAATGATAAAATAATTACACATGAATCAATTAACTCAGCTGAAAAGTTCCTGATTCCCTTTAAATTTGCCCCACAGAGTAGGAAAACATCTAAAACTTTCAATTAAACAAACATAAGTATATTGAGTCTTAATACTGTTTGATTGGTCTGCATTTTGTAAATGTCCATAGGAATGTTCATTTAATGGAAATACTTGGTGGGATGAAAAAAAAGAAAATTAAAAACCATAATGCTACCTATTTTTCCGGGGTATCTACAGTTTAATAACAAAATTTTAATTTAGAGAAATAAACTGATAAGAATGAAGATCAAAGATGTCAAAAAGGAGCTGATTAAAGCTAAACTTTTCAAACTTGTGGCCGGAATTGATGTAGCTGCTGTTATTTCAGTAAATATTAGTTCAGTTTTATTTGCAAAAACATATTTTAAGTCCATGTATCTTATCTTTTCCACATCTCAAATATGCATTTGTCAAATATGTGCCTGCAGCTTCATAGGAGAATACACAAGGAAGGCATCGATTCAGGGAACTTCCTGGATTTATTTAAAAGGGAAAAAGTTTCTTAAATAGATGAAAGATTTACTCTGCTGTATTTAAAATTTCAGGGCAGTTATTCTAAGCTCTAATGATAATAATTTGATTTCTACCCAGGTGCCTCTCGGTGCTTTATCTCCCCTTGTCTATGTACACTAATCCCCCTTCTGATGTGAGTCCTGCCCCCCTACCAAACTGTCTGCCATCTTCTCCATCCTGAACCGCTCTGTCCGGCGACCCGCTCAGCCTCGCGTGCCATCGGCCTCTCTACAATGTGTGATAACGGCGACTCAGAGGACAAACCCCCTGCCCCCCCGGTCCGCATCAGCAGCACCATCTTCGGCACGGGCGCCGG